TGTTGCGATACTAAACTTTCATGAGGACCTATTACCTCCCTAGACTATTTAATATCGTATTTTAAACATATATATTTGTCCACGTGGACATAAAAAATAATGCAAAATTATAAATAGTAATGTGTCCACGTGGGCACATATATACCTTTAAAATACACTATTAAATAGTTCAGGGGGTAAAAAATACGGTATTAAATAGTCTAGGGAGATTATAGGTTCTCATGAAAGTTTAGTATCGCAACAACAAATTCGATCAAAGTCGAGGTATTTTTCAAACCCTTATCCCTAAGGTTTATATATAACTAATATAGCTTTGGAGTATCTTTTTCTTCTTCAAATATTTACATTCTTAGTATTAATACAGAGTGATTTCTATTAAAGAAAAAGAAAAAAAAACTTTACACCATAATATTATATAAGAATTTTAATTAAAATGAAATTTTACAATAACAAAGAGAGCCGGAGGTGGATTAATTAGTCCAAATATCAAATCAAGAAAGGGGCTGGAATCATTGCAGCAAGGCAAGCTATCCTGGAGAACCTAAAATGAAAAAGTCAACAACATGAAAATTAGAAAAATCATCGAACTTTACTGATTCGACTAATTTATGATATTTATCCAAGATAAGATGAACAGGAGAAAACCGCAATACATCTCCTTCATCATTCTCCTTTGGGGGTGATTAATTAGGTTAAAGAAAAATACGATAGAAGATCATTGGTCCGATGCATTAAGTGAAATTAATTCTCGGAGAGTGATGAATTAAAAGAATAAAGTGATCTTTGTCATGATGTTTAGAGATCAAACGCGAAAAAATGGGGTTGAGGGTAGCTCAGTTGGTAAGTTTTCGATATTCTATTGTTGAGGTGAAAAGTTCAAACTCCATCAATAGCGTAGCATCTCCTTCTCCTCTCGTAACTTAAATTGTACACGTATGAGCTTTGCGACATGCAAACTAAGCCAAATATTTAAATAAAGAAGGATAAAGAAATGTGCACATTATTCCGAGTTTCAATAGTTGTTGCTAGGCACATTGATCAGCTCTAGACGAATTTCTTGATTATAAAATTAAAAAAAAAAATGTTGACTATTCATATATCAAATACGTTCTATTCTGTATAAAATAATTTCAATCAACTTCCTCTGTACCTGGATTTACGATTACGATGATGAGGGAGTTGATTGACAGGCCGCGAAGCATCTACCGCGGCCTTCTTCTTCAAATTCCTGCCGGAATTAGCTACCACCATTCTCGGCGGTAGAACATGATCTGCATCTTCCGATATGGAGTAAAGAGACGGTTTCCATTCAGGGAATGAACCAGCTGATCTCGCCGATCCTCTTCTCCTCCGTCGCCTCCTTTTATACATAATAATGTTGTTAATATCGGACGATGCTACAGAAGCTGTAGGTACAAGGATCTCCTCTTCCTCTTCAGTGCGATGTGCACGTTTTGATGAACAGCCACAACACGATACAAGTTCAACGAAAAACTTCATATTTACCAGGTATGTATGTGTATATAAACTTAGAAATAATGATTGCGCGTAAGGTGTTTGATAAAATGTCGAAGATAAATTGTGCTAAAGTCGTTTGATAAAATGTGTGTGATGGATTGCACAGAAGATGTTTGATAAAATGTACATGATAGAATGCCCGAAAGGTGTTTGATAAAATGCGTCTGAGATTGCCAAAGAAAATGCCTATGATAGATTGAATGATAGGTGTTTGATAAAATGTGTATGATAGATTGCCCGGAAAGTGTTTGATAAAATGCGTATAATAGATTATCCCGGAAAGGTGTTTGATAAAATGTCTTATGATAGATTGTCGGAGAAGTGTTTGATAAAATGCGTATGATAGATTTTTGGAAAAGTGTTTGATAAAATGTCTTATGATAGATTGCGGGGAAGATATATATACTTGATAAAATGTGTATGATAGATTGTTGGAGAAGTGTTTGATAAAACGAGTATAATAGATTAGCTCGGAAAGGTGTTTGATAAAATGTCTTATGATAGATTGCAGGAAAGATATATACACTTGATAAAATTGTGTATGATAGATTGCCGGAAAAGTGTTTGATAAAATGTGTAAGATAGAAGTAAATGTGTGTATTTTTCTTTCTTACTTTCGATAGATCTCTTTGTTTACGTCTCTTTTCCCCCCTCCGACTCTCTTTGTACAACGCGCTCTCTTCTCTTTCTCTTTCTCTCTATGTTTGGATTTGGGAAATGTTTGTGTTAGTTTGGCTCAAATGGTTTTGCGAGAAGTGTGGAGACATTATAAACAAAGATGGTTGGTGAGTTTCCTACTATTAGAGCCAAATATTATTAATTGTGGTGTAAAATTATTGGCTTAATACATAGCTTACCGTGTTGCTTGGACTCATCAAAAAGGTCAATGTATGTTGGATCCTTGACGAGCAATGCACTTTGGAGGATCCAACACGGGTGCGGGGCTAACATTTTTTTAAGAGTTTGAACAACATTGCCCTCGATACACGTCACTTAAATATTCACTTGTGTCTCTTTTGTGTGTCATGTAGTAATAAAATGGAGTTTTTAGACATAGTTTTGACACACGTTAGCGTGTAAGAGAGATTTCGCTACAAATTCGCAGATAAATTATGCATTATTTACGAATTACTTGCATTATTATCGTAATAATTTTTTTAGAGGTGGTATATGTTTTGTGGTCTATTGCTAATATTTTTAGTTATATGATTAAATCATTCTTTTTGTTAGAGATACGTAAATAAAATATATGAGATTTTTAACCGACTAAAAAGAAAAATATGGTGATTTCTAGTGTTTGTTCTAATGAGAGATAACAAACATCCAATGAAATAGCTGAGATGTGCCCAAGTTGACCTTAATACCGCTATTGGAACAAAGGAAAAAAAAATTAAATGTAATTATAACATTAAATCTAATTAAATATAAACTTTACCGGCCAACAGAAAGTCAAGAAAGCTAATTAATTATTAATTAATAAAAGTGCAAGATAATAATTTATATTTGAGTAAGTGGATGTCCATTATTATCACCAATAAATCCGAAAGAAACATGGCTAATTATTTTCATCTACAAAATATTGTTTATGCTTAAATGTTCATATAAAGAAACCTGCGTTGCTTGCACATTAGACAATAAATAAATTCACTTGTTTAAATAAGTTCAAAGTAATTACAAGGCTGAATGAATAAGTAAATATATAAATAAGAAACATAGATGGAATGTGTTTATTTGAGGAAATTTGATTGATTCTGAATTAAAAAATTCACAATACAAGGAGGTAAACCCGTTCCCCCGATACATCCCAGCTCACGAGGTCTAAAAAGAATAGTGTACACAAATCATACCCCTACCTCATGAAAGGTAGAGAAGTTGTTTCCGAAAAACTAGAGTAAAGTCACAGTCCAAGAATAAAGCACATGAGGGGAATAGGTAATAAAATGCACCAAACAAGGATCATGAAAACAAAACTTACTAAACATCCCAACAAAATTTAGCATGTTATAACTTCACTACAAAATGGTTTTTAACTGAATACTCAAAAATTGATCAGGATAAAATAACAAGATAGAAAAGTAACAAGTGAATGGCTTAAGCCTTGTCAGCCTTGGCAGCACTAGCAGCAGCTTGACCACGAAGACGACCAGTCCTCCTTGCAGCAATAAGACCAACCTTTTGTCCAGGAGGTGCATCACGACGGACTGTACTGGCATGACCAATGTGTTGATGGTTACCACCACCATGGGGATGCTCCACAGGATTCATAGCAACACCACGAACCTTAGGCCAGCAGTTCCTCTTCACACGATACTTATGGTAAGCATTACCAGCTTTAAGCATTGGTTTCTCAGTTCGTCCTCCACCAGCAACCTGACCAATCATAGCACGACATCCACTGGGCACAATCTTTTTGGCACCTGATGGGAGCTTAACCCTGTAGAGAGTTCAAATTTGATTAATCACATTCCATAACATCTGAAATACTTCTAACAGACAGTATGGCCGTAGTATAACCACATTCCGTAAAACTAACATCTGTTAGAAATAATAGATAAAGACATAGGATGTAGCATGACAACAAAAACTGTCATTGCAGCAATCACAATGATCTAACTAATATAAGTGTTTACGAACTAACTAGTCACAGAACACAACACCTATAAGGTTAGTATATCACTATTAAACATATTACAAAGTACATTCTTTTCCAGATAAAGCATCATACACATACAATATCAGGTTTCACAATACACTTCCGAGTCTTTCTTCACCCTCACTACAATGCACCCTCAATGACAAACTTACAAACTAGTTTAACACAATGGATATTATTTGGAAAAAATAAAAAGAAGACCCTTCTCGCATAACCAAGCTTCATTTATAGGACAAGATAATCTGATACAGTTAACCTCCTTCCCCGACTCCAACTGCACGGACTTCACATTACACTAGTCTATCCACATATTGAGTAATAACACAACATTGGATCAGATAACTCAGGATAGCAACACGACTTCAACGAACCATATCTTCGTCAAATTACACTAGCAAAGTACTCTTAAGCAGATACATATTTCAAAGGCGATATTACCGAAAAATACTGGTCAAAACTGAACCATTTCCCCCCACTAGTTTCACTTAACCATCATCTTGACTCAGCGACTATATCCAGTAATCAAACCATCAATTAATCATATAAATAGAAGCATTTTTCAAGTCAATTAATCAACCAACTACACCATATCAATCGAGTGTCGTAGCCACATACAGTGAAGGGTAGCCAGTATATAGGTCAAATTATATTTTAGTATGTACAGATTAAATATTCAACACCCGCAACGGAATTTCTAGCTTCGCCACTGTATCAATCCTAAACTAGTGAGGTTAGCTAAAAGAATCATTTTTTTCAATCATACTAACAAAAGCATCTATAAGGGGTTTAAGAATATAAAATTGAAACAAAACGAGTAATAATATATACCTAGTGGTACCATTATCAGGATTGTGACTGATAACAATGGCGTAATCACCAGAACACCTAGCAAAAACACCACGGTCACCAACTTTATGCTCAACGTTACAAACAACAGCTCCTTCGGGAATAGATCTAAGCGGCAACACATTACCAACCATAAGAGTAGCTTTTTTCCCACAATACACAAACTGTCCAGTGTACATCCCTTCAGCGGCAACGAACAGCTCCTTCTGATGCTTGTACCTGAAAGGATGACGGAATGTCACGCGTGCAAGTGGTGCACCCCTCCCTGGATCGTGAATCACCTCTGTGATTACTCCTTTCAGGTATCCATTTCTCTCGCCGAAATCGAGGGTACGGAATCGGGCCGGACCTTTCCGGTGGTGGGTATGGGATTTGAAAACCGACCCAGCTCCCTTACGTTGTGCTCTGATAACACGACCCATTTCGCCGGTTTCTCTCTCTTCTCTCTCTCTACACTCTCTCGCCGGAGGGGTTTTGAGGAGAGTGATAGGAAGAAGATGATATACTAGGGTTTTTAGAGGGTAATGTGTTGCCCTAGTTATGATTTGGGCTTAAGAAATTTGGTCCAAGAATGATTTTGAGCCCATATAGGGATATCATGGCCCAATATTAGTTTCCACTTTGATAAGGAGCAAGTGGACCGATAGTCGATTTAGGGGTGTGCACTATTCGGGTTAAACCCAACAACCAAATCAAATCAAATCGAATTTTTATTTGGATTGGTTTTTTGGATTGGTTTTGGATTAATAAATTACTTTGTTTGGTTTTTTGGTTTGGTTTCAGATTTAAAAAAATAAAAATCGAAAGAACCAAATTTCTCTCTCTCTCTATCTATATATATATATATATATATATATACATATGTTTAGGTTTAGAATTAAGTTGGAGTTAATCTACTTTTGTCCCTTTTTGGTTATTGCCTTTCACGATGATTATGTTTATATTTTAAGGGATTCAATATTATTACTTTGGTTATGTTATTAATTATTGACATAACCAAATAACCAAACCGAAAAAAGCAGACCTGAATAGAGGAAAATCAAACCAAACCAAATTTATTTTGGATCAAATTGGGTTACACTTTTACAAAACCAAAAATCGAAAAATCCAAATCGAATAGTGCAAAACCAAACAAAAAAACCGAATGCACACCCCTAAGTCGATTTGAGGATCGTTATTTAAGTCATAGCCGAAGTATATAACTCTTTGTAAGTTTAACTGTTTTAGAATCAAGTTCAAGACTCACGGGGGAATATTTAATCGTTATTTAAGTCATAGCTAAAGTATATAACTTTTTGTAAGTTTAGCCGTTTTAGAATCAAGTTCAAGACTTACGGGAATGAAGTTAAAATTTATTCATGTCTGAAGTTGTATATGAGTCTGAAGTTTGACAAATTAATTGTGTAAGCAATTTTTCAACATTTTTGTTTGTAGTTTTGTTGGCTTGACAGGTTAAAACTTTTGATTCAAACTTGTATCTTGGTAAGTTTTATAGAGTGCTTATTTAGACCAATTATGTTTTAAGGAGTAGAGTGTTGGTTAATCAAGAATTCACACGTTCAAACGATGAGAGTAGCGTAAATAAAAATGCTTAGATGGATGTGTGGACACAGTGGCGGATCCAGGATTTAGAGTTCGGGGGTGCCAAATAAACTTATCGATTAAATTAATTTTATATTTGATTAAATTATTCGCCTTTTCGATATATGTCATAAATCAATCAATAAAATATACATAATAAGATATTACAAATCCACACTCCACACTAAAAGCATGAAGTTAACAAATTTAAAACTTTCAATAATATTACTATTTACTAATATTATAAATATTCAACATTCATTTACAATTGTCCTCGACGAGTTTTCATATTCTGAAAACGATCGATAATGACATCATTACTAACATTTATAAATACATCACGCTCTATGTAACACACTAGACAATCATTTAAATATTGATTACCAATACTATTCCGCACTTCATTTTTATGTGCTTAATTGACGAAAATGCTCTCTCCACAGTTGCCGTAGCAACAGGTAAAATCAAAGTCAACTTTACAAGTAAATAAACAAGTGAATAAGTCTCCGCGAGATTTGCTTCAACCAATGCCTTCGCCAAATCATGAATTCCTTGCAAGTTGGAGAACTTGGGATTACCACTTCGCATATGAATAATGAAAGTATCGAGTTGATAGCTCAAATCTCTAATTTTTCCATCATCAAACTCACTTGGATAACACTTTGCTAAAGTCATGATTTTACCTTTGTCAAAATTAGAGAAAGAATTGACCGGATTCAAGCTACCCATCCCAAGAAGCAAATCACCACTCACTACATCAAAACGGTCATTAAGTTCTTGAAGTTGCACATCAATGACAGCAAAAAAGACTTCAACACGCAAGTGGTGCGCATAACTAACACCCGAAGACTTACGTTTTGACTTTCCGGGAAAATAAGACTCATCCAACTTGGGAATCAAGATATCATGCACATCACAAAATGAGGAAACATCATCCAACAAAGATTCCCATCCATTTTCCCTCATATCTTGCAATCTTTTCTTTGTAATATTAAGAAACTCCACGACATTAACAATATCTTGATCTTTTTTTTTTGTAAAATCTTACTCAACTCATTTGACATTGCCAACACTTTCAACATCAAGTGAAGCACAAAAATAAATTTAAATGTTTTAATCTTTGTTAAAAGATACTCCGCTTGATTTCTATCACTTGATGTGGACCCTTCAAGTTCAATCACTTCAAGAACATGAACAATAGATGAGAAAATAACAATAAAGTTATCTAAAGTTTTGAAATGTGATCCCCAACGAGTAATGTAATTAATTTAATTTAAGTCAATAACAATTATAAAATAAAATAAAATAATGTGCCAGCTGTTTTCCTTTAAAACAAAAGGGGCTTGGAGCCTTTTTTTCACTTAAAAAACGTCTTCAGCAATTTTTCAAAAAAATAGGTTCAAATGGGATTCGAACCCGCAACCTCAACCTTCTAAAGTTGCCCTCCTACCATGGCACCACAAGCCTATTTTGTTCTGTGGGTGGCACACTTTATATTTATATAAATATTATGTATATATACCTATGTATATATAGAGTTTCCGTCGAAGTTCGGGGGTGGCGTGGCACCCCCACTGCCCTTCATAGGTCCGCCCCTGTGTGGACATACTAGAAGAGATATGAGGATACATGACAATGTGGGAATGACCTTTGTGGTGGACTAGATGTAAAAATGAGACTGAGATGGTTCGAACATGTAAAAAGGAGAAGTACAAATGTCCTAATGAGGAGGTACTAGAGATTGATATGTTTAAGGAGAGGTAATGGACATTCTAGAAGAGATACGAGGATACATGGCAATATGGGAATGACTCGTGGTGGATAAGAGATAGAAAATGAAACTGAGATAATTCAAACACGTGAAAAGGAAGAATACAAATGTCCTAGTGAGGAGGTACAAGAGATTGATAGTGATATGTTTAAGAAGAGGTAGACCGAACAAATAATATTGAGAGGTGAATAGACATGATATGACACATTTTCAACTTACTGAGGACATTACACTTGATAAGAGAGTGTAAAGGTCAAAGATTATGATAGAAAATTAGTAGGCAGTTGTACGTTTTATCTATGTTATGTGGGAGAGCTCACGCTGGTTTAGAACACTTTACTTCGTTCCTCTTATCAGTCTCATTATATGTGTAAGTGTTATCGTATTCCTTAATTATACAACTGTTGTTTCTTTTACTCGGTTATTCCTACTATTTTGATGTCATTACTTTTCTCTTCTCTTAATTATATATTTTTACTCTTGTATTTTTAAATCTATAAACATTTTTTCTTGAACTGAAGATCTTATAAAAAATAACTTCTCTATTTTACTCAAGATATAAATAAAATTTATGTACACTCCATTTTTAAAATCTCACTCATGAAATTAGATAGGTAGTTATTGAAGTACCTTAGTTCAAAGATAAGACTAAAAACAATACAATGTGAGAGGGTCCAACCATATAATAAGTTGGTCCAATAAAAATTGAATGTAATCATCAACTACTTCCATAAAAGGCGTGTAGGTCCTTATGGTCCCATGTACCCATTGTTTGTAGTGCCATAGGTTTTAATAATCCATTAGTACTAATCTAGTGGTTGACAATATACCGTGTATGGTGAAATAGTTGGAATCTTTCTATCTTTAATTAAATATCTGAAGTTTGAACCGGAAAAACAAAAAACTTATTATTGGTGAGCATTTTACCCCCTAAGTTAGTCTATTTATTCGATGTAAATTCAAATTAATTAGGTCGGTAAATTTCAAATTGACTATAGATAAGAAAGATTATTAAGAGAGTTAGGATCTTAATAGATCCTTTGCTTTGGAGTTATCTAATCAATCTATAAAAGATCCAAACAACCAAATAAACAAAAGATATACAAAGTTAATACTTGGAAGATTAGCATATATCTCCATCTAATCAACACTAGATCTTATATTCCCAAATTCTCTACAACCTTCCATCTAAATAGAGACTCTTATCCTACAATTTCAAGAAACTAATATGTAACTAATACACTATCAAAAAGTTATAGTGGCGTGTTAAGTACTCCATCATTTTTAACCAAAAATTTCGAGCATGAGTCATGATATGAAGTCTGTCTTTGGAAGGAAACATTTTACCCTCGTAATGAAATTTTCTTCAAAACAGATACCAAACATCGGACGAGAAACACAACTACTATTATTATAAGTAAATATCTAAGTCACAAGACAACATTTTCTATCTTTGTGCTTCAAATCTCTGTCCTGTTTCAGTTTTCTTTTTCTGAATTCCTGTAAATTCAACAAAATGCAGTGTAATGTTCAGTCTGTAGCATAAAAAAGACACAAAATTGACTAGCCAATTGGACTTAAAAAAGACTCGAAATAAGTGACAATAGTATTATTTCACGTGAATAAACAATAGTTCACATGAGATGAAATCAGTTTGTACTTGTATAAGAATTTTTTTCACTTATAGAGGATCGGAATTTAAACTTGATGTGTTTAACATTATCATTGTACAGTACAATGATAATAGTAGAAATAGTGCCCACCGACTATTTTTTGGACACGTAAGTGAAAGATAAATATTATTTCGAAGTTTCAAATTCTACAGGTGAAATTCCTCGACAACGTGTTGGAGTTTCACATATGAAATTCGATACTTCATAATAGTGATTATTTTTCAATTACAGAAGTGGTAATAATTTTTGTGAATTTACCATATAAATTTGAGTTCAAATTAAAATTCTAGACCAACCACAATTGAAATTACGTAAAAAATCCCGACTCATAAAGGAGAAAATAAGTTGAGGGCATTTGAAGCATTGTCCAATATAAAAAAAATACTAGGTTCAATCAAACTCATAGAACATAAGATCACATCGGTTTTTAACTATCATCATAACTAGACAGTTGACTCATTATAGCAAGTTACATGTCAGACTCAACTATTTTCAATAACAACTACATCTCATTCCCAAACAGGTCGGATTCGACTATAACCACAAGAATAGAGTAAAGGGAGGAAGAATTTTTACCATTTGGATTACAATGTGGTGGATCTTCAAAAAGTGAAAGTGAAAGTTGTTTATGAGCTAATCCAATATCAAAAAGTATAATCCCAGAATTAAGATCATCAACAATAATTCCTTTAACAGGTAGCCACACAAATAATTCTTCTTGTAAAAATCCTTGAACACCATTAAGGCTACCATAAGTAAGATTAGCTTTTAAATAACTCTCATAAAAGGCTATTGTATCAAACTTAGTCAAACAAGGCCCATCTAAATAAACTTCAAGAAGCCCATTAGTTGATGAGTAATTGTAAGATTTTACTTCTTTTGGAAGAAGACCATATGGTAAGCCTTTGGATTTTAGAAGATCATGAATGGACATAGTTGAAGAATGTGATAAAGAGATGAACAACAAGAAGAAAATGAGTAAAATAAGTTGAAATTGATGATAATATTGAAGAAAAGCCATGAATGATGGAAATGATGAGAGAGAAAGAAAAAGAGAGAGAGAGAGAGAGAAAGTGTTTTGTATTTTTTGGTTTGATATCTTTTATGGTGTTAGATATTTCATCATGAAATTTTTAATACTAGAAAAAAATATAACTATCCCAAACTTTTATATTTTATAAAATATCTATCATATATAGTTTGTATTGTTTTTATTTGAGCTTGCTTTCCGTGTTCACTTTCAATTACAACTAGTAATAGTAGATTTTTTAATACAAATTAATGATATTTTTCTTTTATTTTTTTTGTTCTTTTTTTTGTTCTTTTTTTTAGATTCATATTAGTTATGTTCACTATTATGGCTTTTCACGGAATATGTTTATTATGAAATGATAATATAAACTTCTATCGTTTTTAGAACTTATGAGTATATGTCATATTTTTTCATAAAGTAAAATATTTTCCTCAAATACTATGACCTAAGTTTAAGTGCCTATCTAGACACCAAAAATTGAAAACATCAATTTAAAGAAGATATTTATATATTATGTTTTTTTAAACTTTGTATTTAATTAAATTAAGACACTTTATTTATAACATCGAAAATATTAAGCCTTTTCGTGAAATTTAACAAAAGAGATTGCTCGAACAGTAAACACCGTTTAAGGTTGGTGGGTTCCAATTGGATTTAAGTAGTAGGCCCAAGTTAGATAGAAAGGGGACCCAAAAATACCAATTTATTTCATATTTCTTCTGTATTCGCCGGCGAAGACGTGATCTTGCTTTTCTCCTTTTCCGGCGAACTAATCTCCGTTCATTTTACCGGCGAAATTCAGTTTGTAAGTTAGTTTACACGAGTTATGGATTTTGTTTAAATCCAATTTTTATGATTAATTTTATAATTTTATCAAGTTAAAATGCATCATTATCGGGTTATCATGTTAACAAATTTTCTGGCAATTTTTTTAATCGGTAAAATTAAGACCATAAAAGATGGAACTTTGATGATTTCATTGATTATTGAAGTTGAAACAATTGAAATTTTGGCAAAGCTAGAATCTTTGATCCATAGTTTCTTGTCCTTAGATTTCTTTTACTATATGTTGATTCCTTGTAGCTCGATAATCGTATTATTTTGTTACTGTGTTCTGTTTTTGTTATTATGTGTTGCCTATTAGGTAGGGTAAGGTCTGCTTACACTCTACCGTCTCTAGCCTCATTTTGTGGGATTACACGGGCTAAGTTGTTGTTGCTAGTAGCTTTGAACTGCACCAGGTAGAAAATCAAAGTTTGGGTACTGAAAATCGACCGGTTTTGGTGATCAATTAAGTGGGTTTAGAACTATGAGGTCTTAGGATTCGTAGAGTTATTCGACATTGTCTGAGGTGTGGACAAGTTGGTCCGGACTCCACGGTTATTGATTAAAAAACATTTATTGCATATATTTTCTTGTTTCAACCTTCATCAAGAAGGTGTTTGTGACTAAGATAAACATTTGTTGCATATATAGTGGGAGTACAATGCATGGAATTCTTAGTGTGGAGAAGAGTTTTTGTCTTTTTTACCGAGTTTGTTTCTACTATCACAACCTGTTGGCTTGAAAGCATGCTGCTTTTATTCTCCTTTTGTTTCTTAAAAAGATCAGATTCAAGATGTTCTTGAGAGCTTTGATTTCAACATGCTGTTATTAGTACATCATTTTCGTGGCAATTTTGAGAAAGCTAGAGCTTAACTGGATCTTAATTCTTGATGTACTGCTGATATTTCCTGTGTTTTAGGATCAGAGAGATGCACTAAACCTTGTAATATCTGAAGGGGTTAATCATCTAATGCTTTCAACATCAAGCACTTGCAATTGTGCCATAAGTTTTCCGAAAATGGCATCTGACTACAAAGGTTTGTATTCACCTTCCATCTTGTTCTTCTTTCTTCTTTCATTTGTTATGAATGATATGATGAAACTTTTTCCTCTTGCATGTAATGTCTTACCTCACAGGAAAAGCTATTGTACTTATGGGTGTCAGCGGAGCTGGAAAATCGTAAGGTTTCAAGTTACTTACTAATTTGGTTTAACCAAAAAAATTGTATAGGTCATTGATCAGTTTCTAACTGCTTGTATAGTTAAACTAGATCTTAACAAAGAACTTAACATTATAGAAGCAAAAATATCTTGTTACTTGGCAAGGAAAAATGACTTGAATCACTGTAATGCAATACATGATAGTCAATGGTTTACTCTTCCTAGGAGACCTTTTCTTAAAAAAAAAACTTGAAGCTTATATGAACATGCTATTCCTATTTGATACGTCTCTGTGGTTCAATTTTCAAGTTCCAAATTTTTTAAGTAATTCTTATGCATGCTGGCTCAGAACAATTGGTGAGATGCTTGGAAGAGCTGTTCATGGCTGCTTTCTTGATGCGGATGATTATCACTCAGAGCCTAACAAAGGTAAGGACTATGATCATGACTTTTTAATTAAAATCATGGCTGATCAATGAGAGCATATTCCCAAGGGGTGCATTTATTGACGATTTGCTTGATCAAAACAGAGAAGATGAAGAATGGGATACCTCTTTCCGAGGAAGATCGTGTTCCATGGCTTGAAGCATTGCGGAATACACTGAGAAGAGGATTAGTTGACAATGAAACACTGGTTCTTGCTTGCTCAGCTCTGCAAAAGCGGTACAGGGAAATCCTTAGATCTGCAGACCCAAATTATGAACCATGTTCTTATGCAAGTATTGTTAAATTCGTGTTGTTGGATGTTGGGGCTGAAGTGCTTGCCGCTCGGCTGGTCAAGAGAGCAGCTGAGGGAAAGCATTTCATGCCTGCAAAGCTCTTGCAGACCCAACTGGATTTACTTCAGATTGATGAAGCAGAAGGGATACTTAAGGTTGATGCTACTATGGATCCTGACACCATATTGAAAACCATACAAACTTATGTCATCTGATGACAAGTCCACAAGAGATGGATTAAATTGAAATTGATGATGAATTATTTTAAAGAAAACTTTGTGATAAACAGAATTTTTATTGTAATATATATTTTCATTGCATTTTTGACAGCAAGACATACATCTGAAGAACAAAGCTAAGAAAAATTAGATGAAACAAAGTAACGATGTTTCTCATTCAAGAGTGTTGTGACTATAGCAAAAGCAAAGAGACGATGACACAAAATAAGATCAATAAAGAGAAGCTAAGTCTTTGTTATAATTCTTGTGGTCTGAAACACCAAACTAGCCATTCAATTCATGTTGTTCCATTGCTTGTTACCAGGAACCCAGTTTGGACACGTGGGACTGAAGTGTCTGGACATGACTCTCGAATTCAATAGCTCAACAAGGGGTGCAAATTTCACACATCGGGGTGTCTTGTATTGGTCAAGGGAAGCACCTAAGCTAACACAGTAATCCATGAGCTTGTCAAAAGTCCCAATTTCCACTATCCTGATTTCCAGAGGCCCAATGGATTTGTCAGAGGCACGCCCCTGGCGGTAGACGCTATTTAGAGATTCTTCAATGGTGAGGCAACAATCTTCAAAGACAGAAGGAGGAATTTGGGTAGAGCCATTCACATTGAGCTCCCAGAATAGGACATAGTGGCCTGGAATGGTGGCGCTATCGGCATAGCTGGTGTACTCGGTTACATTTGTATCAAATGGTATCAGATTGTGCCCTGCAGTTTTTACTGCATTTTGTAGCTCAGCTTCATCAGTCTTGTCGGAATCAATGCTCAAGATTACATTTTCCCGACATACGAAGTAGAATTGAGGTGCATTGTTCTTGTATCCAGCAACTCGAAGCACATCACCCACTCTGTATCTATAGAGTCCTGAAATGGCACAAATCCAAGCAAAATAATCATTAGCAGACATGTTGAACCGACAAATTGTAAAAAAGAAACGAGTCGAGCATTTTGTTTGGCATTTGAAAGTACCTGAATATGTGGTAACAACAAGCTCGTACTCCTGGCCAATCTGGACATCAATCAAATCAACTAATTGATTTTGTTCTTTCTCATTAAGCAGCTTAGACTTGGAGATAGAATTAATGACTCCATTGTCTCTGTGAATTGGTGCGAACTCAAAATAGCACATGGTGGGAATAAGGGTGTAAGAGACTTCACTGGGCTTACAAAAGGGGTTCAAGTTGATTCCAAAGTAGCATTCTGAGGAACCATACATGGTAGAGACAAGAGGGAGGCCATTGCTGTAATAATCAAGGGTAGGTATATACTGTGACATGCTTCCGGTTACAACAACAGCCACATACTTTGTGTTTGGCCACAACCTAGCGATGATCCCTTGCCATGAATCTCTACTGCATTCAGCCTCGATGAAATCAGCTAACTCTGGGTCAGGTTTGAGGATTTTCATCACCGACTCTCTCACTGACTGATCTGTAATTTGGGTGTTAAGGGTTCCCATTCGAATATCGTTACAAAGTAGAGACCAGTGCTTTTCTAGGAACCGGATGGCACGGATGAAGCTGGATGCAAAGGGTGAGCCAACGCTGATGACTTCTTTGCATTGGTAGAGACCACAAAGCATTTGGGAGTACATGTTTTGGTAAGAGTCTGGGCAGAGAGTGGTTTCAGCTGGACTAGTGTAGTTTGCATAGGGGCTAAAACGGTTGTTGTTGAAATAAGGACTCTTGCACATACTTGTTAAAACAGGGCGAGCTGTTAATCCTCCTGGGGTCTTGGCTTCGGACTTTATGGACCAGAAATACATTCCTTTGCCCTTTTCCAAATCTGGAACAAATTGGCTTATCACAGACATCCCAAGGCCGCGAAGCTGAAATCTCTTCCCAATCTCTTCTGGAATTGTTGGCATCAATTTTCTCTCCCCTCCGGACGTCCCAGAACTGCACATAAAGATTGTGCTTCAGCTTAAATTAAAGATCTTAATGAGATACAGAGAATGTGAATTGTGTACTTTATAATAGTACACTATTGAGATGGAGATGCACATTTCGAAAGGACAAACCTTGTCAAGAATTCAGAGATGGGTTGGGAGCAGAAGATCGGAGATTTATCACCATTGGCTATACGGTTAATATCATGCTGAATATCTTTGTAGGTGATGACAGGCATGACTTTCTTGAACGTCTCTCTATCAGTGTGACCATTGAGATCATGGCGCTGCAAGTACTCAACATTGGCATTTCGAGAGAGGATTTCAGCAAGAACTCTCTTTTGGACCTCATCAACGTTGATCGTTACCTCTTCAATGAATTGAAGAGTCTTCTTGTTTTCCTCCACTATACTTCCCTCAGTGGCCTTCATCGGGCTCTTTGATGCCTCAGGTATGGTTCTTTCCATATTAATAAAGACGTGGCTGAGTAAAAAAAATTGTTACTAGGTGAACAAAATGTATATATAGAGGCATTTTGGGAGATTAAATCCCGATAGAGATGAGTGTATTGACTATAGGTTCAACTGAATCCAGTATTTACTCATAAATATATCAAGTCCGTCCTTTTTGAACTTCGTCTCTGATAGTACAAAAATATGTATCACTACATATACATTTTCTTTTTGATAATTGTGATCTGGCTCTGGATCAAAAGTAACCTAAAAATCTGTGCCCATAAGTCTCAAATATCTTGTTGTCTTTTTGTTTATTCTCAGGTACAACTGGATTCTGAAATGTGAACTATAAGTTAATTAATATAAAATTAATTTATTTAGCAGATTCGACTTCGTGATGCGATGTGCTCATACATCCACGCGTTGTGCTCTTACCAGTAGACTAATGCCTTAGGCATTAGAAGTATGTTATCATTTACAGAAAGTTTCTGTTTTTTTCTTCTTTCTGAAATGCTTTTTGAGCAGAGAAAGATAGAGGGATGAACCTATATTATCCACCAAGTTTCTAACCGTACGTCATTGACCCTCGAAATTTTTTCGATTATCAAAAAGAAAAGAAATGTACAAATTAACAAAGAATATAAAACAGCATGGCCAGATCATTACTGAATTGCAGAAAGTTGCAATAATAATAATAATAATATTTCCCATCCGTCTGACATGTTTTTTTAAAAAAATATACATGTTAAGTTATGACAAAAGATATGGTCAGACAATCATTTACATGTGTTTCATGTCATCATGTGTTTAACTTTATTTTTCCCCTTCAAATTTCATGTGGAACTTTTTTTTTTTTTCTAAACCTGGTGATCGGTACCAATATTGGGGTACCTATATTGGAGCTTGACAAAAACCAGATTCGCGATTTGCAGGCCCAATTTTTTGGGGTGGCGCTCCCAACAATTCCCTTCTAGGGATCAAACCCGAGACTTCTGATTTAACTTAAACTTCACATTTCACCTTAACGACAAATATTTATTAGACACACAAATTTTATCGCATGTTTCAGATAAAATATTATTTTGTTAATGGTAGCTAGTGTGGTGTATTAGTTGAGTGGGTTAACTGCTCTACAAGTTGTTAGTATTAGATTAGTGATGATTAGTTAAATGGTTAGTACAGCTATTGAAATCTCAGCTGTTAAGTTTTCTTCCTTGTATGTACCATTGCAAAGTCTGTTCAATTCAAAGAGAAAAAAAGGTTGGTAAATCTCTATACTTATTTCTTGGTTAAAGAACATATTTATATATTATGCTTTTCTTAAACTCTGTGTTCAATCAAATTAAGACACTTTTGTGAAACTTGACAAAAGAGATTGCTCGAATTGTAAGCACCGTCTTAAAATTGGTGGACTCTAATTGGATTTAAGTAGTAGGCCCAAGTTAGATAGAAACGGGACCCAAAAATACAAATTAATTTCATATTTCTTCTGTATTTGCTGGCGAAATACGTGATCTTGCTTTTCTCCTTTTCCGGCGAACTAATGTCTGTTCATTTTTCCGGCGAAATTAAGTTTGTAAGTTCCTTTTCACGAGTTATGGATTTTGTTTCAACTCTTTTTGCTAACTTTTCTGCATAAAGAAACCATTAAATTCAATTTTTACGATTAATTTAATGATTTTATCAAGTTAAAATGCATCATTATCTGTTTATCATGTTAACAAATTTTCTGACAATTTTTTTTATCGGAACAATTAAGACCATAAAAGATGGAACTTTCATGATTTCATTGATCATTGAAGTTGAAAGTTTGGCAAGGCTAGAATCTTTGAACCGTAGTTTCTTGTCCTTAGATTTCTTTTACTATATGTTGATTCCTTGTAGCTCGATAATCGTATTATTTATTACTATGTGCTGTTTTTGTATTATGTGTTGCCTCTTAGGTAGGGTAAGGTCTGCGTACACTCTACCGTCTCTAGCCTCACTTTGTGGGATTACACTAGGTATGTTGTTGTTGCTAGTAGCTTTTAACTGCACCAAGTAGAAAATTAAAGTTTGGGTACTGAAAATCGATCGGTTTTGGTGATCAATAAAGTGGGTTTAGAACTATGAGGTCTTAGGATTCATAGAGTTATTCGATATGTTTGAGGTGCGGACAAGTTGGTACGGACTCCACGGTTATTAATTAAAAAACATTTATTGCATATTTTTCTTGTTTCAACCTCCATCAAGAAGGTGTTTGTGACATTGTTGCATATATTGGTGGGAGTGCAATGCATGAAATCCTTAGTGTGGAGAAGGATTTTTGTCTTTTTCCGAGTTTGTTTCTACAATCTAAACTTGGTGGCATGAAAAGAATGCTACTTTTATTTTCCTTTTGTTTCCTAAAAATATCAGATTCAAAACATTCTTGACAACTATGATTTTGACTTGCTGATATTAGTACATCATTTTCGTGGCAATTTTGAGAAGGCTAGAGCTTAACTGAATCTTAATTCTTGATGTACTGCTGATATTTCCTGTGTTTTAGGATCTGAGAGATGCGCAGAACCTTGTCATATCTGAAGGGTTTAATCATCTAATCCTTTCGAATCAAGCACTTGCAATTGCATCGTAAGTTTTCCGAAAATGGCATCTGACTACAAAGGTTTGTGTTCACCTTCCATCTTGTTCTTCTTTCAATTGTTATGGATGATATGATGACATTTTTTCCTCTTGCATGTAATATCTTACCTCACAGGAAAAGCTGTTGTTTTTATGGGTGTAAGCGGAGCTGGAAAATCGTAAGGTTTCAAGTTACTTACTAATTTGGTTTAACCAAAAGAATTGTATAGGTCATTGATCAGTTTCTAACTGCTTGTATAGTCAAACTAGATCTTAACAAAGAATTTCAAGATTGTAGAAGCAAAGATATTGTTGGAATGTATGCGTCCACCTATGTAGATGGGACTAGGTCCTCAACACAGTTATAGTGATAAACAATAAAGAACAAATGCTGAAAGTAAAGATTGACAATCAATTTTACGTGGAAACTTCCTTGCTCAAGGGAGTAAAACCACGACCTGTTCTCAACAGGACTTTTCAAATTGCTTCCACTAATCTTCTTCAAGCAAAAGTAAAAGCCAGTTTACAAAATGAGATTAACCTGCTAATCTCCACACTAAGCAATACCTCCTATCACTTAGCTGAGCCAGAGCAGATACAACACTGCCCACTATACTAATCCTAACCGATTAATATAGCCTTTTAGAGTAAGAAACTAAGTTACCCTTAACCTAGTTCTTGCAATGATTCACACAAGTTTGAAACATTTCTTTCACAGATGAAACGAATCCTACAATATAAGAACTATTATAAGCAAAAAAAAACTACAGCTAGTACAGAAAGCAATAGAAACACTTCTATCAGGTCCCTTGCTATTTTTGAAGCTTGAAAATATCTCTCTTTGAATGAATGATAAATAATGTTGTTTGTTGTTTGATATAAACCATGAAGAATTATTATCCAATGTACAAACAATCTCGTCGCTTCTGATTGGTGAAGTACTCTGCAGCTTCACCAACTTTCTGACGCGGACAGCTTTACAGTTGTTCAACACTTTGACACTGGACGAGTATTCATACTCTGCAGAGGCCCAATGGATTTGTCAGAGGCACGCCCCTGGCGGTAGACGCTATTTAGAGATTCTTCAATGGTGAGGCAACAATCTTCAAAGACAGAAGGAGGAATTTGGGTAGAGCCATTCACATTGAGCTCCCAGAATAGGACATAGTGGTCTGGAATGGTGGCGGTATCGGCATAGCTGGTGTACTCGGCTACATTTGCATCAAATGGCATCAGATTGTGCACTGCATATTTTACTGCATTTTGTAGCTCAGCTTCATCAGTCTTGTCGGAATCAATGCTCAAGATTACATTTTCCCGACATACAAAGTAGAATTGAGGTGCATTGTTCTTGTATCCAGCAACTCGAAGCACATCACCCACCCTGTATCTATAGAGTCCTGAAATGGCATAAGTCCAAGCAAAATAATCATTAGCAGACATGTTGGACAGACAAATTGTAAAAAAGAAAGGAGAAGAGCATTTTGTTTGGCATAAGTACCTGAATATGTGGTAACAACAAGCTCGTACTCTTGTCCAATCTGGACGTCAACCAAATCGACTAATTGATTTTGTTGTTTCTCATTAAGCGACTTGGACATGGAGGTAGAATTGATTACTCCATTATCTCTGTGAATTGGTGCGAACTCAAAGTAACACATGGTGGGAATAAAGGTGTAAGAGATTTTGCTGGGCTTACAAAACGGGTTCAAGTTGATTGCAAAGGGGCATTCCGAGGAACCATACATGGGAGAGACAAGAGGGAGGCCATTGCTTGTCACACCCCAAAACCGGATGTGATGGCACGTGCCCAAACCCCACCGGACACGTCAGCCTAACACCCAAAACCCGATGATACATAATTTATAAACAAGAATAAGATAGAAAGATAAGCGGAAGTCTTTAAATAAACTCAACATAACCCCAGAATTGATTGTCACATGTACAAACCTCTAATACATAATTTGAATAAAATATACAAGTCTCATAGTAAAGTTCTAGAATAGAACAGAACAGTAAATATAGATAACTTGAGGGCACGTCTGGAATGAACCGCTACCTCTCAAGTAAGTCTGGAAGCTCTAATCTGAAGATGAGTAATAAGCCGGATCTGATAGAGCTGTCAACCTACACAACTGTGTAGAAGCAAGGGTGAGTACCAAAAGCAACAGGTACTCGCAAGTAACACAAAACTAAGCTAAACTAGCAGCTACAAACAACTCCTTTCAATCCCAACCGAACCACCGAAACTTCATTCTAACAGCGAACCAACAACCTATACTACACAATTCATAATCAACAGATATATCCAACAGTATCTCAACATCAACCTCATATCCTCATAGAAGAGCAAATAGATCATATATCACATGAAGAGGAGCAAGTAGGTAAAATCCACACACCACAGACAAAGATGAAGTCAAATGCGATGCAAATGCAATAATAATGTCATGTAGTC